AACTTGTATGGGCAAATAAGTTCAGTGTTGGTTGAAACATCACAATGGATAACAATTATTATTCTTATATATTCATGTTAGAAATAATAACAAACCATATTGCTCATTATAAGAATGAGAATACTTTACTTACCTAAAGTTAGTCATTTTTTGCATGCACCTCAATCGTTCTATAATGACCACAAGATGTACTGTTTAGTTAAGTCCCCATATGAGGAGTGATAAATATTTAGGAATTTTTATTTTTCTAGATCTTTTGTACATTTTTTAAGGAATTCTGGTAACAGGTTCCCTTTTAGGCCTCCTAATTTGATTAGTGTGTACAGTTTGCCTTTGGATGGTTGAGTGCAAAATATAGCAACACACCATTAATGAAGCATAATTTTCATTGACTGACATGATTTATAACGCAACTAAATGACTACAATTCAAATCAAACTCCTGAAGGTTCATCAATCATATGATAAAATTGTATTAAATGGTGTGACTACTATACGCATGCCCACCTGTGTCTACATGCGTGTACATGTGTCCATTTGGGCTATTGAACATTTTCTTGGGCAATGTATGCTTGCTTCCATATGAGACCATTTGTGGGCATATATGTGATCAAGTAGAGATAATATATGGGCTAATAAATTAAGCTCTCTTATGTTGTTTTGAAGATTATGGAACTTCACCCAATTCTTTATGTTTTTATAAGGGATTTTGAACGCACGTTGCTCAATATGACCTGGCACTTATCCCTTAGTAAGTTCTTGTCTTTTGATTGTAATGAGTACGCTCGAGTCAATTTTTATTTTGTTTATCTTTTTAATAATTAATTTTTTTATTTGTGTTGTTTGATGATTTTTGAGTTTTTTTCTCTGTTTGTTTCGTTGTTATTCATGCCATCTACTAGTCATCTCAATAGCAGTTTGCACAGCGTCCTCATAGTTCATGGCAACTTTTATTAAAGTTTGAGTTTTACAATAAATTTGGCACATCTTCCTCTTAATCCTTATATGAGTTTTCTATAAAAGCACCAAGCTCTCCCACAATATTATTAAAAGCAAGATAGGGTGATTTAAAAGACATCATAGCCAAAAACAAACTAAAATAACATAGTATGAGTTCCACCAATGCGCCACTGAAGGCATGCATATGATTTCAGGAGGACACTCACCATATCCTAAAGCTGTGTATGAGTCTAAGAGACGAATTCCTACAGATTAATATATCAAGATAAATATGGAGGGCTTATCACAATGCCCTTGAAAGATGCATCGGTGTTAGTTATTGGCCTTAACCCAATACCAGAACAAAAATGCATAATGTACATAACCTTATGAATTACTGGTCGAGTGATTTGAAGCAAAGACATAAGAGTAAAGCACATACCTCTCTTTTTAAGGGAAAATTCTTAATGAAACATGCACTTCAAAATTTTTTTCTCTTCACCTCTTTTTATCATGTATTAATGTGAAAGACAGTCAACTTATTTCCCCTCCATTTATCGTATACGACATACAATTTTAGTTAGAAATGAGGCATTAGAAATGCGGTATTAATTGGGATGAGCAATAATTTTCTAATATTGGCATTACCTTTTTCATGTTGTGGGTTCGAGCTATGCATGAGCATATGTGGTCATATGCATGGTTCCATATATATGTGAAAACAACAAGCTTTGTATAAATTCTTCTTGGATCCATTTCAGATTTTCTTGAAAACATGGATAAGATTTTTGTTACATCCAATGGTTTTATCTGGCTATTACCATTTCCAAGGAGCTTGACACCCTTTTTCGGAATTACGGATCAGCTAAACTTGAATCAACCTAGGCAAAGTTAGAATTGAAGTTGATATCTAACACATGATTGGATTAAAAGACTTGTTGATATTTTGCACATTTACTTAACATCATGCATTGAAAAATTAGTTATGCACTAGATTAATGGAGGCTTGGAAGATATGGTAGAGTGAGTTGTTTTGCTTAAACATTCAACTTCTGTAAACATGGGAACAAAAATGACCAACCAAAATTAATATGAAATTTTATAATCAATCTTATTTATATTCTTTTGAAAAATAGCATACAACTTGTGATATAACATAACAAGGTAGCTTACTTGTATCCAATGGAGCCTTCAAGTTACTTTATATAGAGCAATATGATAATAAACTTTTTGATTTCAATGCAAATATTTAATTACTTTTCACTAGAATGGATTTTTTTTTCCTTTGCTTTTCAGAATTTCAATTGCCATTCCATGCCTACTTGATGAGCTAACACTAAGGGTTTTATGAAAACTATAGTTTGTAAAATTTTTTGTTAAGCTGTTGTGCAAGAAGCTCCTGTGGGGTAGGTGTTGTGGCGAAAACAATATTTCATCTCTGAAAATTTCTTTTTGTCATATTATATTGGTTGTGTTGTTGTTTTATATACTTAAGTTACATAAATGCCCTTCTTATTACACAACTTAAAAACTAATATTTAAATGTCAAACTATTCATGCACTATCAATTTCAACTTATAAGTAGGTGATTAAAGATAGAATTATAAGATAATCATTGTCATGTAATATTTTCTCTTACGTAAACATGCAAAGCAGCATAGCATTGATAGTTCAACAAAATAATGTATTATAGTTTTGATTTGGGAATCATAATCATTATAGCGTTTATGTGTTGAATCCACTTAGAAATTGATAAATGTTTCTCTTTTGAAGTATGTGTCCAAAATAATATTTTTACAACAGTTGTTTAGAACCCAAATTAAAACAATAGCTATGTGTTAATCAAAGTAGTCCCAATTATATCCCACAACTTTGCAATCTCTTCAGCACCCTCATCATTCATGATTGTGTTTCTAATTATTCATTTCCATAATCAATAGTTGTCCAATATGTTGTTCATATGCTTCTTGAGGTATGTAGGCCATCAACATCCTATAAATTGATCTCCAAAGCATTACTTGATGTATGAATTTATATGTAATCATTCCATGTCATTATTATTACATTATTTTTAAATTATTTTTTGAATGACTTAATGAACATATACTGTTAACTAACTCATTTTTTAGCTCATATCATTCAAAAGGTTACTAATTATCCTATGACGTGATAATTGACCCTTGTTGAAATGACAACCATAATATTTTTTGTCGGGAGGCACTTTGAACAATATAAGACACTTGTTAAGCTTTCAATTATGATCATAAGCCTAAGTTTCTTCTATTATTTCAACACAGTCTCTTAAGAACGATTAAATATATATTGTAATTAAAAAAAATTAAGATAAATAAGGAGTTTATAAATTATTTTATTTCATTACTTTCAATTACTGCATATAATAGTTATTAGTCAATAATTTGTCAATGTGTATATACGATTCTATATTTAAGAGGAAGAAATTAGTCTTCCTTACCAATCTTTTCTGTCCTTCATACATTTTGAAGGATAATAATTGAAGTAATTAGAAGTTAATTGTAATACGGGGAATATCTCATAGATGTGAATCACAGTAGTCTATAATATTTGATGAATGGTAAATAATGTGTGAGATTAAGTGGCTCTATCCTTATAAATGGGTAGCATTCTATCTTCTCTGTGCATGTAGTGTGCGTACATTCACGTGTGTGCTCATGTGTGTACGCGCATTAATAAACATCTGCAGCTAATTCAAATATAAATCCAGACACAATTGGAAGTGTGCATGTATTCATATGCTTATATGCATGTGAATTTTTATAAGATTTTAGTTTAATTTGATTTAATCGAAGCTTGACTCTATCTAAGTTTAAATTGAGTTGGACTTTGATCCAAGCTAGAAAATTAAGTTGATTAAGCGATCCTCAATCTTTTAGTAAATTCACAATCTCATTCTTACATGATATATTTTTAATTTTCTAAAAGCTATGCATGCCAAACAATATATGCTAGGCAAGCTGTGTTATATGATAGCATTGACAATTGTGATTCCTGGCATTGAAAATTTTATAAGTTGTATCTGCTTTTGTATATTGAGTTGCATATATGTATCTACTGATGTTGGCATAATTTATTTGTAGTAATTTAAAATTTTTGAGACGGGCACATGCTTGCTTAATTAGTACCTATGCAATATTATGTTTGAGGAAATATTATTCCTTACTGCTTGAGGTTTTTTAATTGTGTTTGGTGCAAGAGTGCAGGCTTTTTGTCGAGATCAGTTGTTTGTAGTTTGGCCTGAGTGTGATAGGTTTTTGTATGATTAGTCGGGCTCCATGCATTCGATATTCTGTTTAATGATTTTTTTGTCCTATTTATCTTTTAATCTTTATCTACAATTGTTTATTAATTAAGACACCATTGCAATTGTTTGGGCAGATTTTTTTTTTCTATTTCCTCAAACGATATTATTTCTTGTTCTTCTTAAGATGATTCATTTTATCATATTTTCTGTGAGGTAATATGTGCTTGGTTTCTATTACACGAATTTTAAATTTGTCTTCAAAACCAATGGCCAGACACTTAAACGTAGTAGCTCATATAGGGATATCAGATGCTTCGGTGATGCACGGAGAGTTCACCATAAGCCTGTTTTGTGGGATTTAAATTTGGTAACTCATGCTGATATCTTATCATCACACTTTGTTGGGCAAGAACACAATCGAAACACTGATTTAAAGGCTCCAGACAATGAGGATTTTAAAATACCCTTCGCAAGTGGTATCCATGCTCCTCCTCCCCGTTCAGTGGAGTTGGCTAAAAAAATATTGCGCACGCTTGACGGAACAATAATTCAACCAGGTTAGTAAATAGTTGACACTGCAATTTTTCTTGTTCAAAAACTATTTATCAATTCAAACACTGTTCAAAAGTCTCAAAATATAGTGCGATTTTATTTGTTTGCTATAAATATTGCATTACGTTTAAGACCTTAGTGGATGTTATTTTCGCGTGTTTATATTGATAATTTTTTATGTTTTATTAGCTTCTTCCATGTTAAAGCATATTTGATCAATTTCAGTCGAGCAAAAGGATGAGGCCATGATAAAGTTGTTGCCTACTCGCCTCCAGGAAGTCCAACTCAAACTGGCATGGACCATTACTTGCTAGAATGTCAATTGTGAACTTGGCCTTTTATATGTCGTTGAATAGCGTCCAAGAGTAAGCTCTACAACCTCCACGTGGAATGAGCTGCCCAGGTCTGATGAGAAAATTGAAATTCCTTTGTTTTTTTTTTTAAACGATCTTACCGATTTACATTTTCACACCTAAACTTCATCTTTACTCACATAGCACTCAAATCTTTAATATCATATAGAAATAGTGCTTTTACCACTTTTTAAAAGTGAAGTACATTTTTTCTTGCATAGGTTTGTTGCGCCAAAGTTATATTCATGTAAATATGAAAGTTTAGGGTTAATATATGTATATCCAACTTCCTTTAAATTTTTTATTTATACATCTTTTGGCAAAGCATTTCTGGTGCTTGGATTGCTGCGTTATTCTATAGGCAAAGAGCCAATTTCCTGCAGCTCGGATATAGCTAATTGTGTGGGTACAAAACAGCCATGAATTGTATGGAGAAGATTATCCACCTCTTGCCCATCATTGAAATATGTGAAAATAGAAGATTTTTTTTAGAAATACTGGTATTTCTTTCTTTTATAATGTAGGATAGTTTTCCTGAATGGCACAATGGCTCTTTTCATGTTTTTGTTTGGTTATCTAAATGTTTTTTTTCCTTTTTGGGTAGATTTTCATATGTACCATTCCATTCCTATGTGTTTACATATCTATCACCTAACTTTCAAAATTTACATATATATACTACTTTTTTATGCATAAAAAAGTGCATTTTACATTTTAAAAGTTAAAAAAGGGATATTCTTGATGTGATATGAAAGATTTAGGTGTTTTAAATGTAAAATTATGTTGTTCTTCAACAAATTCATGCTTCAAGTATAATTATGTTGTTCTTCAACATATCAGAGCTCAAATACATGAAGCGAACTTAAAAAGATTGGGGGCCAAGACACTGTACCAAAAATGCAATTTACTTATTTGTTAGACCGGTGTATCATCATAACAAAGAATTTTATTATAGAAATATGTTTTCTTTTTTTAGTTATATAATTAATATATTTGATTGAGGATAATAAATTGAGATTTCCAAGTAGGTTAAATTTTGATTTACTTAATTTTATGTATTATAAAGGTTATATATAGTTGGATCATTAATTTTCTCTTGCAGTTATTAAATCTCATCATTTTTTCTTGTTGTCTTGTGATGTCTACAGATTCATGAGGAATGTTTTGGCTCCCCAAGTGAAATTGCCAGAACATATTTGAACTCTATGAATAAAAAAGCAACCCCTTTTGTTGTTGGGCTACAAAGTAGAATATGTCATAAGCATAATGCTCAATTCGGAAGTAAGCTGGTAAATGATGCAATTGCTTCCAAATCTACTTTATGCTTTTCTATAATTTCAAAATAACTATATGACTTGAAGGCCACGAGGCAGTTCAAGATGGTGTGAATTACCTCGCTATCCTTCTCAGCCATCCTCTTTACTGGCTAATTCCCAGGTATTTGCACTTCATATTTTAAGTTGATGCCTTAATAATTCTCTTGCAACTATATATCATTGGCTTATTCTCCCATCTCATTTCTAGAGTTTTTTCCATTTTAGGAATATACTAATTATAAGAACAACAAGGTAAAGCCAATTGCATCATCAATTGCTAGGCATTTTGGCCTTGGACATGTTAGTAATTCTTCTTAATGAAATAACAGCTGATTTTAATTTTAATTTTAATTTTTTTTCAGACAATACCAGCAAAGGGTTCAGATATTGCTGGGCAGATCTTTCGACCAAAGCCTTACTCCGCTAATTTTCATTGTAATCTTTTTAAACAGGCTTCCAAATTGTCTTAAAGTTCAAGTAAACTTCATAATAATGCTTCATTTGGCAAAGCATTTCTGGTTAGGGCTGTAAACGAGCCGAGCCTGAGCGAGCCCAGGCCCGGCTCGTGTTCGGCTCGCTCGAATCTGGCTCGTGTTCGAAATCGGCTCGTGTTCGAAATGGCTCGTGAACAGTGTGTTCGTGTTCGGCTCGAATAACATTTTCATGTTCGTGTTCGGCTCGTGTTCGGCTCGAAAATGGCTCGTTAGAATATAAAATTATTTAATAAATATTATTTTTTTTTAAAAAATAATAATTTTGTCTAAAAATTTTTCAATGACAAATTTCATACAAAAATTCAGAGATTATGTTAATTTATTTTTTACAAAAAATTAATTAATTATAATTTGTAATATTTAATTTTATGAATATGTATTATGTATATTTATATATATTTATTTTCGAGCCAATTCGAGCCGAACACGAGCGAACAAACTTTTGTTCGTGTTCGGCTCGTTTTTCGCGAACAACGAGCCAAATTGACAGCCCTATTTCTGGTGCTTGGATTGCTGCGTTCTTCTCTAGGCAAAGTGCCAATTCCCTGCAGCTCAGTCATAGTTAATTATGTGGGTACAAAGCAGCCATAAATCGTATGAAGAAGATTATCCAGCTCCTGTCCATCATTGAAATGTGTGAAAATAGAAGATATTACTACAACTATTGTTATTTCTTTCTTTTATAATGTAGCACCGTTGTCCTGATAGCACTACGGTCTTTTTCCTATTTTTGTTTGGTTATCTCAATTGTTCCCCCCCCTCTTTTTGGAAAGATTTACATACATACCACCCAATTCCATGTGTTTAAATATATACCACCTTTTTTATGCATAAAAAAGGTTTATTTACTTTTTAGAAATTAAGTGATATTACCTCGCCATTGGAGTTTAGGGCTGTCAATTTGGCTCGTTGTTCATGAACAACTCGTGTTCGGCTCGTTAAGCAGCTCGTGTTTGGCTCGTTCGTTAAGCCTAATGAGCCGAACACAAACAAATTTTTAAGCTCGAAATGTAAACGAGCCTAACACGAACAACAGTTTGTTCGCTCGTGTTCGGCTCGAAATGACTCAAAAAAAAATTATATAACTTTTTATATAACAACATATTACATATATTATTTATATAATAATATATTATATATATTTATGTCTAAGTTTAAATTATAATATCTCATGTGGCAATGTGGTTAGTGTCTTCTTTTGTATATATTTGATCCAGGTTCGAATCCCACACATCACATCTATTTTTCTCAATTTTAATTTAATGAGCCAATTTCGAGCCGAACACGAACACAAATATTTAAATCGAGTCGAACACGAACACACTGTTCACGAGCAGATTTCGAACACGAGACAATTTCGAACACGAGCTATTTCGAACGAGCCGAACACGAGCCCGACCTGAGCTCGCTCAAGCTCGGCTCGTTTACAGCCCTATTGGAGCCCTATTGGAGTTGGGTTGTTCTTCCGCAATTACATCAGTAGCTTGTAAATATGTTTATGTAGAGCTTATTTGCAACTTGAGCTGGTTTGAATTTTGCTTTTGTTGATTAATTTGTTTCATTGTATGAAAAGTCAACATTAATAAGGCTATCCAGCTTTCATTCAATTTAAAAACTAGACAAGTATTTATTTAATAATTTTCAACCTCAATAAGGCTAGAAAAATAATCATAAAAATAATATGCTATTATTACCCTTTCATCCATATGCTTATGCCAAATTTAGAGCAAATATCGAGGATCCTTAGAGATTTGATCAAATAATACTGATTGTTGGTGTGTTCAAGGTATGCATTGAGAGGTGATGCTCGGGCCGGTCACTCGATCGTAGTTGATTTGATTTAATTTTAGAAGCTCAAATTAATAGTAAATTTATTTATTTTTTAACATGTGAACCATCACATATGAAGATCTAGAATCTATCACAAAATTTACAATAAAAATGATGGATTTAAATGGTTCATTTGGTTGTTTAAACATTAAAAATTATGTTTTATACATTATAACTTTTTTACTCAGTATAATTTAATTAAATGTGATTAAGAATCATATTATTTTTAAACATTGCTAGTAATTCTAAATTTTTTTGGCTTTTTAGTAATTAATATAATAATTATAAATTTATTAATGACAATATTTAGGATATATAAGGTATTGATTTGGCGATGGATGGTAGATGCGTACAAGATTAGAAGGCGTCAAATATGAGGCATATTCTCGCTTTATTAGTTTTTATTTTAGGGATATTCTTTGAACGAGCCCATCATAAGATTTAAACGCAAATTCATACATCTTATTAAACATAGAAAAGAGTGTTTATTTGTGAGATAAGTAAAAGTGCTTCCTATGTAAATTTCTCTTATATATATTTGATATTTAAATTTTTATATTTATATTTATAACATTTTGAAGTTAAAAATATATTGATTTTAATTTTAAAAATTAAATAATAATAATAATAATATGATATTGAAAATTTAAAAGATATAGGTGAAAATAGTAAAGAATCAAAATAATTATGGGGCCTATTTAGTCCTAAAGTTTATAAAAGTGTATGAATCCCCCTGTATAATTATTAGAACTTAATTTTAAAATAATTAATTTTTATTTATTAAATTGAATTAATTGGGAGAAAGAAATATTTGTTTTATTTAGAAAGTAGATTTATATAAAAATGTAAATGAGTTTCGCGATTTGAAAATCGGAAAGCAAGTCTTTACATGTAAACGAGTCGAATGTGAGCGAGCTGAGATTCTCTGTTGAGGAAAAACAAGAAGCCCCGAACTAGAAGTAACACCCTCCAACAAGAGATTATCTCTCTATCTCATTCCTGCATAACAATTAAGACAGTTATAATGCATTTGTTCCTTTTCGACACTCGTTTTCTCTATAGTAGATAAGGCAGGGCACAACGCCCGCGGGTTGCTAGAGTTAGTAGTGTTTGAAGCGAAGCGTGGAATCATTGTGTTAGAGGGAGAATTGAATATTTGAGTGGGATTTAAGGAAACCCTAACTCTGATGATTGTTCGAAAGAGCTCGACGATGCTGATGCGGGCCTATTTGTCTTTGATCCTTTTTTTAGCTGTGTAGATTTTGCATTTTGTTTAGGTGTTGTTGAAGTCTGAGTCGTATACAAGCCGAACATGAGCGAGCTGAGCTCCTCATGTTAGTGTTCAGCTTATTTGAAATTATCGTGTTTAAAATTATTCGTGAAATATATATTCGTACCCGGTTAATGTGTTTGAATTTTGCCGGATGCATTTGAAATATTCAACATAGTGGTGTAACGAAGTCTTGTTTATTTGTTTTTGTGAGTTGGCAATTCCTTAATATGTTTTTAAAGAGCACCGTATTATTCCAAAATAAAATATAAGATGTGGGACTAAAATTTTGGTGGACGTTCGCAACATCTAATTACATACCATCCAATTCTCATCTATTTACATATCTTAAACACCTACGGGCCAAATATTGGGGGCTATTGGGGGGAAGAGAATGGTGTCAAGATTTTACGAGCAATTACATGCATGCCGACCAAATCAATATAGAAATGATAAATTTTGACTTATGTTCCAGCCCCGACAAGTATCACATGATGAGCACATGGGACAGCCGGACAGGTGGAACTGAGCCGCGTGGCCGTAAAATATCAGACCGACCAAAGAGGTCTACGGTTTACAATTTAATATTTATTTATTTTATGTGGAATCTAAGTAAGATGAGTCTAAATATGTGAAATATACAGAGATAATTAATGATGTAGGAAATAAGTATACGAGTGAGATGTTAGGATTGATATATGATGAGTTGTGTCGGTCAATTTGAAATTATGAAATGCACTCAATTTAAGTATCAATTCAATCTTTTAAGTGATCCTCGAAGGAAAATATCAAATGTGATTCTTAATGTATGTATTATATCTTTTTAATTTAAATATGTTCTATAGTTTTTATTATGGCTTATAATTTTTATGAAATGTCTTGCAAATTTATTTGAGAGATGCGTCATTTAGTTAGGATCATCCTTGTTGGCATGCCGGAATTTTTTCGGTGATAAAGAGATAATCTAATGTCATAGTCTTGCACGAAGATCCAACACACCGATAATAAAAAAATAATAGAAAGAGACATTAAGATTTATTCTTAAGTAGAAAAATGTTGAGAGGCAAAAAAAACAATGGGAACAACCCAGTCAAAGTAATCCACTGGGAGCACTCGATTACTATTTTACTTCAGTTACAATACTTGACAATATGCAATGTTAAAAAAAATATAAGAGTTAGGAACAATCGTTGTATTCTGACTATGACGGTTGTAAGCAGTGATCGTCAGTGGCTGGTGGTCAGCAGTGGTGGATATTGATTGAGGTCGGCACCTACGTAAACGAAAATCATCATTATTTTTTTCAAAGAGTGTAACATGTTACAATCATATATGGGAGATGATGTTTACAATTAGAGGTCGCCGACGTTTGGAATTCGACAACTACAAATAAGGATTGCAAACGGTGGTCAACGGTGGTCGACGAACGATGGTTAACTCTAGTCAATGACTACTAATGTTGGAAGTTATCGTCTAGCCGTCAATACAAAACATGATTTGGAATTCCTTGTCTTCTTCTTTTCTTATCAAGTGAAGAGAGATGGTCTATTTGTAGTCTTCGAGGGAGTGGTGTTTTTGTTTTTGGTGAATAACTTCTCCAACAACTTTATCGAATGGTCTATATTGATCCCCTTGAGAATGGAAAATTATTATCACGTGTATAGGCAAACCCACCTTAGTAAAAAAAATTATTTAATACATGAGTGGGTCTGTTCGTACACGTGGCAGACCCATATTGTAGCCCTGATGCAAAACTACGTAAGGACTTCTGATGTAATAATTTTTCTTTGAGAATAGTGAATATTTTAAAGATTGTGGTACATCAAAGTTCTCGAAATTTAAAAAGGTTTGGCTTGTTGGATTCCTCTCGTCAAGACATTCGATTTAATTATAAATATGTCAAATTTGGACTCTGTTTGAGCATTCAATTGACGATTGAAAACCTTTGATTGTGCTTTGATGGCTTGATCTGGGTTTGATTGAACTCGAATCAAATCAATTTTAGTATCAATGGGTTCATATTATGGAGACACTCAATTCGATCATAAACTTGTTGAAATCGGGACCTTGGCGATCTTGAATTTGAATTAGAAATATTTGTTACTAAAAAAAAATACATCAAGATACATATTAAATGATAAAAATTTATTTATGATAGTTTATATTGATAAACACCACTTCATATGATATCCATAAAGTCCATAATTCCCAACTAGTATAATATAAATGTATGGCATATATTATTAGTGCCATGCTACAATGCTTTTCACAATATAGGCTACTGAAATGATCTACTCTGATTATGATTTGTATTCTATAAATGATACTTGAACATAAGTAGTATTATAGATATTTGTTAAGCTCATATTTAATCTATCTTATAAAATGATTTATAATTAACTTATTATTATTATTTTGTGTGTTGAATACAATTATAGATTTTATGGACCCTAATGAGTTGATTAGTCTCACCGGTTGCATTTATATATTTCTAGGAAAGTGTAATTTAAAACAATACTTAATGTAATATTTTGATTTTTAACTCATGTAGTTATATAATGATTATAACTTCTAAGTATATCACAAGAGAATAGAATACAATCATTCTAGATTGACGATCATTTTTATCACTATACGTATATGACACATGAGATGATGACATTTGATTTAATTATGTCTTTTAATGATTTAATGAATTCATATCATGAAATTTAAATACTGTAGAGCTTTCTTTTCTAAATAGATGTTAAAATTTTTTTTTTATGCACACGACCTATATGACCTCCTATATATTGTCAGGGGACCTTATACATACCGCCAAATTCTTATATATTTATATATCTAACACCTAAACTCTACTTTTTATATTTATACCACTCAAATATTTTACATCACGTAAAAATATCACTTTTTTAACTTTTAAAATCTAAAATACATTTAGATATGTAAATATAAAGCTCAAATGTTAGATATGTAAATATATCTACAAAGGATGTTAGCACAAATGTCATATGCATAGAGCTAACATACAATATTCTAAATCTAAAATAATTGGTAGAAGTTAGGGTTCTATTGATACTAGGATTATAATAAAGAGTCAATGGGCCATACAAGAGGAGAAATCAACAATTAAGTCTTTAATCAAAAAAAAACAAAGATAAAAAATATGACTTTATTTATAAACGAAAAATAAACAAAATGTCGATTTTGGAGCCATTTGGCAAAGCCAAAGAATATTGGGGGATGCTAATTTGAGATGGATGGTCTTAGAGAGTCTTCCAAGTTGGTTTTGGTGTAAGCTTCTGTGCTCAAATAATTTGGTGTGTTCCATGAGAAAGTAGCCATTTTAGGTGTTTCCTCTTTAAGATTGTTTTATGTCACATGTATGATAAAAATTGGGTGTCAAAATGTAAGTATTACATATAAAGTTATTCGACAAGTTATTTAAAGAGTGTGCCTTGGTTGTCGAACTAGGCTTTGGTTGTTGAACATGTTGTATAAACAATGTTTTGTTCTCTAGGTCCTTATATGAATCAAAATAAATCATTTTGTGGTTAAATGATGAGAGAAAAAAAATATTTTTTTTAATGACCAATAAAAAGCTACAAATAGTAACAAGGACTACACCAAAAAAGTCATATATCTTTTTATTAAGAATTTTATTTAAAGATACTTGAAAATTTTTTGTTAAATTACACATTCTTCCACTAGTAGGTTGTTCATGTTGAAAGATTTTGGGAGCAGTGGTTGGAGGGATCAAAGATTTGTTAATGTCATATATGTAATATGCAGATTGATTGGTCGTTTCTCTCATAGTTGGCTCTACCCATAATGTTAGACTTCATCAAGTCCAATGTGGTATTATAAGAAAGAATGGACCCTTGACAGAAGGCTAGCCTTTGTTATCTGAGACATTATCTAATCAATAATTTGTTCAAATGAAGGCTCTTAGATGGAGTTGGTAATTAAGGTGATAGGACAATTGCCTAAGTTAGTTAGGGTCAAAAGATGAACTATTTTCCTCTTGACTAGATGTGTGGTAGAATAATATGAGCCTTTTGAAGGTGCACAAATATTGATCATCAATCATGATCCTATTTTAAACAAATTTGGATTTTAGCTTCCCTTAATGGTTCCATGAATGTGAATGATAACTTCTACATCCTTATTAGGTAAGGCAATGAATAAACGAAGAGTAAAAACAATCATTTGAGCTTAAAAAAGTTATGGGAAGTCACTTGTAATTCAGCTCATTACATGGTTGCTCACAAGTGTTGTATGTGCTAATATAGTAAAAAAGAGAAGAAAAAAAACCTTTTTTGACAAATTTATAGCAAGTTATGATCAAATATTGGTGGATCATTATAGTAATAACTACTCAGCCACATACAGTGTTCCCTTATAAAGGTGATAAGATAAGAATGTAACATATTTGAATATGGGATTTATAGTCATTTACCCAAGTAACAAATGTGTGAACCGTAATGAAATGATAATTTTTTTAGTATTTATTGGGCAAGCACATACACAATGCATGAGATCCAAATGATAATATAAAAGAGAAAAACTTCATCAAATCTTATCGAGAAGAGAAGATTTTCTACCATCTTACCGAGACTTTTATGAGGCTCAAAATATGACAATGATAACATTTTGCCTAAAAAGTGAGGTGGTAAACTTTGAGATGAAAGACAATGTATCACGAGAATATCATAATTGCATCAAGGGTGATCAAAATGCTCCTTTTTCGAGATGGATGTAGTATGATAACAAGACAATGAGTGAAGTGGCACATGAAATTTGTGAGTTTAATTGAATTTGATTATGGTAGTCCTCTCGTAGATATGAAGTTGGTTTGAATGGAAGGAAGTTGAAAAATAAAATTATGTTCAAACTGACCTTCTCGGCAAGATAAAACCTAAAATTTGCTCAATTTTGGTCCAACCAAACCAAGATCAAGCCATTAAAGCAAAATTAGAGGATTTGAATCATCAACTAAATGGTCAAATGAACTCTAAATTTGATATATTTATACTCAATTTGAGCATCTTGACAAGAGGAGTCAAATGAATCTAAGAACACTCAATTTTGAGGTCATTAAGGCACTAAATTTTTTATAAAATCTCATATGGTCAAAGAAGATCAACATGGACCATCCGATCATATGGTTATAGAAGTTATGTGGCAAAGAACTAAAATGTCTCTCCCCAAAAAGTTAAAAATAGGCACTCACTCTTCTCTTGGAGGAGGAGAATGAGAAGTGAAATTCCACAACTTTTTTTGAAGAGAATACCTGGCAAATAACAACCCACCTCCATAGTCGCCAACCACCATCTACCCACCAGCCTTCATAGCCGTCAACCATCGTCAATCACCGTCCGCGGTCACCATCTACCACAACCAACTATTGGCTTATATTGACAACTACTTGCAATGGTTATAACTAGACTACAATTGTTGTTGAATTTCCTTAAATTTGTATTTTTTTGAGTTGTATAAAATCAAGTGTATAAAATTGCTTTGTTCTCTTGAAGTGAGAGAAGGGTGTACCCTTATAGTCATAAGCATATAGTGGATTACTTTGACTATGCCATACCCCATAATTTTTTTTGCTTTCCATTAAGGTTTTCCACATAAAAAACTTTTGGTATCTCATCCCGCCAATTTTATTTTATCTCTGATTGTGTTGAATCTATGTGCAACACTAAAACGTTAAATTATCATTCTACCGTCATAAATTTTGCAGCACACAACACATATCAAAATCAAGAATAAGCCAATTAAGATGAATTTAAACTTATCAATAGGCTTTGATTGAGTTATTTTAGCCAGCATGTAAAACGTGTTAAATGTTCTCCAAAAATATCTGTAATAAATTATAAAAGTTGTGACTCCTAACCATAGAAAATTTGTTGGATGAACCCTTTCTCGAGTAGGCCCAATTAACACATCTAGAACACGAACAAAGACGACTTGTGTGGCCAACAGTAGTTTGAAAACTACTGATATAATAACTTCTATCGTCTTATATACCTCAATGTCAAATGTGTAATAATGGCTAAAAAAATAAAGAATAGTAGGAATTTTTCCAACAAAAATCAAAGGCAATATATAAAGCTTGCCGCCTTTTTTGTCTAACCACCTCAATTTTCATCACATATAACCATCAAATAATTTAATTTATGTAGCACAATTCATGATAACTCTTAAAATCCGCTTGCATGTCTGATCATAGAGAAATTATTACGTACAATGATCGCGCTTGGGCCTTTGAGAGATTCACGATGGCATGATCACATCTAAACTACTGTACAAATTACGACCAGCCAAACATAATAATTTGTCCTTATTATACGAGTGATATTACTTGACCTCAAATTTCTTCTCATCAATATAGTTGGTAGGTACTTATAAAATATATATAGGAATTAAGATTTCAAAATTGACTACCAATATTAGAAATATAAAATGGAATATTATCCAAGGCCAAAATAATGTTATTTATAAATCTAGCAATCCGGTGTTTTTTTATAACTGTTAAACCGATCAATCAAACCAATGAGAACTTTATAAAAATTAAAAATAAATGTTGAGATTTTATCATGAATTTTAGTATTTGAGTGAGAATTTGAAAAATAGATGAAATAATGCGTTAGATTTGTAGATATTAATGTTTTGGATGCTTTGTAACAAGAAAATATTACCACCTGTTAGCCAAATGTATGGACGACGGCATAGATCACACTATGCCACATCATCATTCTCTATCATTAACTTATCATCCGAACGTAATATTTTTCCACCTTGATTCTTCTTTAAAAGCTGAAAACACGAGTTTCATAAAAACTATAAAAATAGAAAGAAGATGAGACCCATCAATTGGATGGAAAATACAAAATGAAACCAATCGAGAAACTTGGTGGGGGTAATAGAGATTAATTGGTCGTTTGGGGCGGCGTTTCCCAGCCTTGCCTTACTGCTTTTACCCTCGTTCCCTGTTCTTCTCTATCCCCCATCCGAAAAAATTCCGGCTCGGATTGTTGTCCTCGCAGACGACGAACTCTCCCATTTTCTCTTCTTCTCCGAAGATCGTTCTCCTCTCACGCAGCTCCTGCCGGTACGCTGCTCCCGATCGTCTCGCGAAGCGTCAAGGCCCTTCGAAGTCTCAATCCCCTCGCACCGTAAAAGCATGAAGCTATCCTTCTCAATCTCCTCAAAATCATCCTCTTCTCGACCTACATCAAAACCTCCGCGATCTTTCAATCCTACCGGCGATTGCAACCACCAAGATGGCCGCCATGACGAAGCCAAGCCGCATTTCGTCACCGTCTTTGATCCCTCTGAAATTCCATCCTCTGATTCCACCGTGCAGCGTGTCATCCCCCCTATCCCCAACTCTAATCACCGGTCTAACACGAAGAAGAAGGATCTCCCTCTTCCTACTGCTGATGAACAATCAGCCGAATCCCGATTTGTGCTCAACGCCTCTGGTAGCGGCTCATCCGAAGCCAGTCAATACGGCCTGATGCTTCGCTCAAATGGCACGAAAGCCAAATCCCTAAAAGGTAATGATGCTCGTTTGTCTGAGAAGATGAGATATCGGGAACTGATAAAGGAGTTGCCAGATGAGGAACTCCCCGATGTCCCCGTTGAGGGTTTCGGGGCAGCTAACTTAGCTGGGTACGGATGGGTTGAGGGAAAGCCTATTGGTCGAAACAGTAAAGAAGATCCAAAAGTTTTTGAGTATAAACCAAAAGCTGGGACGGAAGGGTTTGGTTACTCGCCGACTTTAGGGAAGAAAACCCAGAAGGAGGAGGTTGCAGCTGGATTTAAATCAGTTAATGTGAAGAATGACTATACTGATGATCGGGATAAAGGGAAGTTTGATAGTAGAGAGATGAAGAAAGCGAGCAAGGATAGAAGGTCTGAGGAAAGAACTAATGAGGAGAAAAGAACAAAGTATGATTTCACTACAACTGCAGAGAAAAGTGCAGTTCGGTGGCTGAGAAGCCATATTAGGGTCAGAATAATTAGTAAAAAAATTGGAGGAGGGAAGCTCTATCTAAAGAAAGGCGAGGTGGTAGATGTTGTTAGCCCTACAACTTGTGATATCAAGATGGATGAAAGCGGGAAGCTTGTGCAGGGGATCGATCAAGAGATTCTAGAGACTGCTCTTCCAAAGCGTGGGGGTTCAGTGCTTGTTTTGTATGGTAAGCATAAGAATGTGTATGGGAGTCTGGTGGAGAAGGATTCTGAAAAGGTGACAGGGTTGGTAAGAGATGCAAATAGTCATGCTTTGATTAATGTACCGCTTGAGCAGATTGCTGAGTATGTTGGAGACCCTAGCTGTCTTGGTTATTGAATTTTGAAGAGAGTAGTGGTTGCCAAAAACAAACCAGAAGTAAGTCTTGATTCTTGCAGTTTATTCAGTAGATGTATCCATAGAAGACATCGGATTTATGTTATCATTGTGTAACATCTAATTATATTTAATACTTTTCTTGAAATTCTTGTTTCTATATTATTCGCTTGTTCAAAGAAGGGATATTTTTTTGATGCATTTGCAAGAAAATAATGACGGGGCAGATTAGCTGTATTTTCTTAATTTCCTTAAATCCACGTACTTAAGAAGTAGGGATTTTTACCTTTTGATTTTGTTGAGTAGTCAGAGCGAGTTTAATGATTTAAGAGTGCAATTAGAACAATTAGTTCTTTGACTTGAAGCTACATTATTGTATTTAAATTTGTTGAATCTTTGCAATGGGTTTGATCTAAAAAAAACTTGGATTACTAAACCATGGAACTTTGATAGGGTTTACCATCCTTCGTAACATCCATTTTGCATCACACACTTCAATAAGGAAGCTAGATTTTCAATTTCATTCATCATCAACGGAAAGGAAAAAGAGAACTTTTCACTATCTGTAAGTATCTACGTGGCTTCCTCTATGCAGTGCGGCGAGAGGCCGCGGTTTGGCACTGTTTGGCGCGGCGTTTTTTAAAACTATTAAACTGATCAATCAAACTAATGATAAATTTACAAAAGTTAAAAATAAATGTTGAGATTTTATTGTGAATTTTAGTATTTGAGTGAGAATTTGAAAAATAGATGAAATAATGTGTTAGATTTGTAAATATTAATGTTTTGGATGCTTTGTAACACGAAAATATTACCACCGGTTAGCCGAATGTGCGGACGACGACTTAGATCACACTATGTCACATCATCATTCTCTATCATTAATTTATCATCCGAACGTAATATTTTCCCACCTTGATTTTTCTCTAAAAACTGAAAACATGAATTTCACGAAAACTGCCAAAATAGAAAGAAGATGGGACCTACCAAATGGATAAGCACGACATAAATTTCTTGATGACAAATCTTCTTCACAAATAGAAAATACAAAACGAAACCAAACTAAGCGACAAACTTGGTAGGATTTGCATTAGTTAAGTTATGCTTTATTTAAGAAAGATCTTCATTTGTTTTCTGTTAAAGTTCTGTATTCCAAGAAGAATTACTGCAACTCTCGCATCACCGATTAAAAAAATTTTAAGGTAAATTCTTATATCTGTCATTATATAAATGCCTTTTAGCTATGAATTTTAATGTGATTTCCTATTGACACCAGGCTTTCTTTGTATCCAATGTAACACTTTGTGAATGCTTTCTAAAATTGTCATACACGTATGAAGTTTGATGTATACAAATGAATTATTTGGTGAGCATTTAGTCCTTATTTCTATATTTATCTATCAATCTTTTCCTTTGATACATTTTGCAGGCTTCTTCCAGTTTCTATTCTCCCAACATGAGTATTGGGAATGGGCAATTTCTTCCTTCGCTGAAACGGCTTGATGACTGCACACCACCTTTTACATGGAAAGGCGTATTTCACATTTTAAAAGTTAAATGGTGGTATTTTTGATGTGATGTGAAAAATTTGGGTGATATAAATGTAAAAAGTAAATTTGTGTTAGATATGCAAGTACATAAGGATTGAGTGGTATGGATGTAAATACCCCTTCTTTTAATCAATCCTTTGCAACTGTTTCTAGCATTGTGGTTTATCATTATGCTACTTCTACATTGGCTGTTTATGTATTCAAATTTATAGGTTTTATCATAGTTCCAGTGTTATGACTCTTGGGGGTTATGCCTCTTGTAGAGCTAATGATGTCAATATTTTTTGCATTGTACTTCAATTTTTTTCCTTTTTTTTGCAGTGGTGGAATGAATGGATATCTGATTTTTTAATGAGCTAATGTTGATTGTTTAATATTGAATTAATATTTAAGAAATGTCTTCATTTGTTTAATGGATATCTGACTGCACCAAACTTGCTGAATAGGAGAAGCTTTTTATGGCTTCTCTGTTTTATTTTGTTCAATTTCGGGCCTAGTGGAGTAATGGGTAAGTAGAAATGTTCAGGAATGAATTCAGTGGAACTGCACCATATGCCTCTTGGAGATGTGCATGGCTACGTGTAGTTATTTAGATTGACATACTGGAAAAAGTTTTCTCGGGGAATTTATGAACTATGCTTGGTTTACCGCATGGTTAAGGTTTAAATGCTTCCCTATGGAGACTGGAATGTGCTTCGATGGCGAATTTTGGATTTTGGATCTTTAAGATCTATTAATTAATTTGATTAAGGGGTATTTACATATGCATATTACACAATTCTTATATGTTTACATATCTAACGGCTAAACAACCATGTTTGCTTGCATACCACACAAATCTTTGGCAGTGTTTTTGATATGATGTTAAAGATTTGTGTGGTATGCATGCAAATATAAATGTTTAGGTGTTAGATATGTAAATATATAAGAATTGTGTAATATGCATATGTAAGAGCCCCTTAATTTTTTTTAAACATCATATTTCCTATGATATTCCCTATGGTTAAATCTATTCATTGCAGTGCTAGTCTTGTATGTAGCAATGTTTAAGTGTTATTTATGCAGTTGTCTTTACTTTATGCTGATGGGCAAGATGGTATGTATGTAAATCTTCCTAAAATTAAGTAGTATGGTGGCATATACTTTGTAAAAATTGAAGTTTAGGTGTTAGATATGTGGATACATAAGAATTAAGTGGCATGTATGTAAATCTTCCTAAAATTTAACGATCGCCTAAGTGGAGGTCATGATTGTCTAGTTCAAAGAATTTCACCAATGAACCTCTTATAATTTTGCTACAGCTCCTTTATGAATTTCACCATTGCTTCTCGCCATCTTCTCTCATACTTTTCTACTTTAGTTTTCCTCTTCATGGTTCTCTTTGATGTGAAACTCACCATCAAAGGATTGCTTTATAGGGTTTCACATAGAACGTAATGCAATGTTGTTTTGCTGCAATGGCACTGGAGCAACTAAGAGCTCTGAAAATTAGTCATTATTATTTCCAAGAATTTTGTTTTGGATTGGGCAATGCCAATGAAATCCATCATGGATGAAATTCATTGCAATGTTGAGCAGGATTCCTTTTGATGGTGCTTCAAAAATGTATGTTATTAAGCTGGATTTGTGAAGCATTCATCTTGATTTGTGAAAAGTTATTACATATAATTTGTATTTATGTTTGGTTCCATGTTTTTAAGATATCCATTTTATAGACTAAAATATAATTTTAGAATATTTCTTGAATTTGTATTTATTACAACACTATTTAATACATAAAATTACTCTATATAATAATTGATTCCATAGATATATACATAAAATTGTGTTTCATATGTGTTAGATATGTAAATACATAAAATTGTGTTCCATATGCGTTCTTATTCTTATACAAAAGTTGTTAACACTTTGGGGCCTACTGAAGTTCCAAAAATATGATTGTTATACTCTTCTTTTAAACAGTTTTACCAACCAGAGGCAGTATGATATTTTTTTCTATAAACAGCTGCCCGACAGCTGGTTTCACACAGTTGCACCAAACAGACAGCCAAGTTCCCCGCAGCTGCTTCCTCGTAGCAGCTTTCTGGGGCAGCGCAGCTGCAGCTGAAAAGCCGAGAAGTTATAGCTGCACCAAACAGACCCTTAGTTTGCGACCTAGAGGATAATTTAAACCCCCCGCCGGCCACCGTCGGGAACGGCTCTTACGACTAAGCAAACCAGGAACAGTCTCAAGCAATCCAGTGATGCCTCCGTCGGGAATAGCTCACACAACTGTCTCTTACGCTGTTTGAATTCCTTCCCCAAGCAATCCAGGAGTAGCTTCTTTTGGAAAGAGATCCTCATGGCAATGTTCAGGTACTTGGAGCATCACTGCCTCTGCCATTTGATGTTTAATGAAAATTTTC